TTTTTGCATTAGCAATAATTAAAAATAAATTTACGTATAATCAATGCATCGCATATTAAAAATTTAGTTTTACATTATTTAATACTATATTAAAACTAAACATTTATGTGTTTTATCATTTTTATAAGCATATGTCGATTTTAAAATGTAACAAATGAGAAATGAATATTTTGATTTATTGAAACATGATTTAAGCTTGATGGTAAAAGTTTTAATATATGGTACATGTTGTCTTAAATGTACTCAGTAAGAATCTTAAAATGATTCAGAAATGTAATCATAATAATCGCGATTGTGGATGATGTGAGTTCTCAAAATATTTACCCCATTAAAGCAAAATGACAATACAAGACGTAGCAATGCTATGGCGCCAGGATCTGTTAGTTGCTGTCCTCCGTTCCTGTTTCAAACACTTAAACTTGATAAACTGTATAAAAAAGATATTTTTCACTTTTTTTAAATTATATGTAATATTGTCCAATATATTAATAAGTATCCGTAACTGCAGTTTATATTTATCTATTATAACGAAAACTTCATCTTTAAGTATCAATCTGAATACCACATGCTGTAATTCAAAAAAAAAAGAGAAAAGAAAAATAAAATTGTAAAGCGTATTCAAGAAAACAGTTAATCGCTTTGCACCATGAACACTTTGATTTTCAGTTTCTTACACAAATTTTATTATTGCTCAAAATTCAGTTTGTTTCGGTCGTTTTGTATTTTCTTCCTTCAGTGTGCAGTCATAATTGCCACGAAAATACATTTAAAAAGAATATGTAGAGACAAATTATACAATTTTAAATATTTTATTAAGTGAAATTAAGTTTTATCAAAATTGAACGTACCAACATCTTTATCCACCACATCAGTAGATTTAATAGATTGATTAGCTCCAACAACTTCAGTAGGCTCAGTAGATTTAGTAGTCTTATCAGTTGCAGTTTCTTCTGGTTCTTCTATTTCCTATGAATTATAGATGTATTTTTAAATATGCACTATTTGTAACTATACTAGTAATAATGTATTAATAAAATGATAACCTTAGGGGGAGAAGGTAGTCGGGATGGTGCAAGAGAAAGTGTTTGGCAGATTTTCTTCCAAATATTATCGAAGCTATCACGGCCCATATAATCAATGTGTCCCTGCTCCCAACTTTGCTTTCGCATGTGTTCTTCTAGTGCAATTTGTTCAGCGCTTCTGGGTTCACCCAATGTAATTTGAGCCAAGGCACCAGCGAGACCAGCCTACAAAATAAAAAAATACTTTCTCCTTTAATATTTTTTCTCTTCAATAAGCTTATAACAGAACAATAAGATCAACATACAAAACATGTTTGTTAAAATTATTTTAACGAGTTACCTTATATGACTGCAGTACATTGTCATTACAATTACAATATACATGCAAATGCAGATATCACATACATGTGGAATAATAACATACATAAAACTAACATAAATTAGTAAATTAATAATAACAACAGTCTGTGTTATAATATCTAAATAATAAACTTCCATTCTACGAGTATTTATGGAAATATTGTTACTTAGTTTATTGGTACAACTATAGGAAAATGTTGAAGGATCTAATGTAAAAAAAAAACATTAAAACTGCAAGTAATGTCCCAAAGACTATTATACGAATTATGTAATAAATGTATTATATTAAAATAATTTAAGGACACATTATTTACTGTAGAAGATGATAGATTAATTTTTCTTAACTTTAATGCAATCTACAGAACAATGTGGGAACAATTACTTACATTTGAACTGACTTCCGTTATGTGTGGGTCAGATTGCGTTGCTATATTGTGGGTATCTGTACAAGGTTTGGAATCAGGAGGAGGGCTAGTAGATATCAGTGGATTAGTCCGTACGTCTGTAATGTTTAGATTTTCACCTTGTTCAGCATTTTGATTAATAGACAAATCGTTATGATAAACTGTAGTATGTTTAGGCTGTGCACAATCAATTTTAACAGTTGTGTATTCTTCTGTCTTATAATGACTATGATTCTCTTGCTCATAATGTTGCGTAGCTTGCTGATTGATTGTATTATCATATACTTGATGCTGATGATCAACAAAATGGTCATTGTGTTGATGTTGCTTTGGTTCTTCTTGCAATGCTCTGTTGCTGTCATTAGGCGAATGATAGGGAACATGTTGATGTTCATGCTGTTTTGTTTCTTCTGAGAATGATCTATGATCATCATTATAAGAATGCTGATAAGTATGGTGATGGTCAACGTGTTGATATTGTCTCGTTTCTTCTGGAACTATTATATTACTGCAAGAATGTTGATGGGTGTGCTGGTAGTCAACTTTTTGATGATCTTGAGATTCATTGAAATGCTGATGTTGTGTATTATTTACAGGTGCATAATTTTCTACACTATGTTGGTTTTGCCAAAAGTCATTGTGAACTTGTTTGCTGAACGCATTTTCAGAATGACAAAATGTATGCTGTTGTTTGTATTCACTAATAAATTGGTTAGATTGTTCTTGATTATAATGGTGTTGAGTATATAAAGGAGAATTATATTCACTGTACTCCCTGTTATGTTCTAGTTGTGATTCATTATGGGACTGATGACTTTGTACAGAATTAAACGTGTCGCTTAATATAGTTATAGGTGAAATTCTGTTGATTGTGGAATAATACTGTTGAGTTGCATTACTGTCTTCTTGCTTATGAATAACCAGATTAGTTTGTGCACAATAATTTTCCCATGGATCTTTAAATTCTGAGAAGTCTGGTGGTTCTATGTAAATGTCATTCTGCGATTTGTCTTGTATGTCTGTGCAAATAGGAACTTGTGGAACAGGGGATCGAAAGGGCATAGGAGAAAATTCGTGCCAAATTGGTGCCAATGTGCTGGTGGCCTATGCAAGCATCATGCCAAAACAGAAAAATGCACATTCAGTTGGTTAGTAGAAAACTATAACAGTGTCCATTTTTCTTATGTCAGTACCGTTATTTGGTAAGTATGTATGGTATGTCTTAACTCTAATATTTATATACTCTGTAAATGCACATATATTACACATATTCTGTCTGTGAAATTGCTGTTTTGTCTATCATGAAAATTTTTTAGAATAATGAACTTATCTAAATAAATTATCAAATATAATAGGTAGATGAGAGTATTATTAATTAAACAACATTTGCAAATTACAAATGTAAACATCATTAACATAATAAAATAAAAGAAAAAAATGGACACTGATCTACAAAAAAAAGTATTACAAAAAGATTAAGTTCAAAGTGTACTAATTTGAAATAGAAAATTATGAAGTATCACTTGTATCACTTTAGCTATTACTATCAATATCGAAGATTATACTACATAGGAAAAACCAAAAACGTACCTTAAATGCCACAAGAAACAAGTCAAGTCAGAAGATGCCATTCGTAATAAGTAATGGTAAGCAGCATTATTTTCATTAATTCTCAAATACATTTTTTATAATAATACTGTCAAATATGTACAATATATACAAATTTTAATTATTTGACCAAGCATGTTTATATCTAATAATGCATGATTGTACTTGTGATATACTATCTATGCTAATTTTCTAAATGTTAAGGAAAATCTTACAATATGAATGGCACACTAACAAGAGGAATAAAAGCATTTTACCTTACCTTTATTCCTTACATTTATAATCACTAACTTAGTGCTTTTCTCTTTATTTGGCACTTGAAATCTTACAGTCTAATTAATGCATTAGAAATAAGAGAAAATGTACAAAATTATTTTTTAAAAAAACCATTATATTTACAAATTTTCGCACTCATAATTAGTCAAACATGATACTTATTGTCATATATTTCTTTTCAAACAATTCGTTAAACTTACCATAACGGGGGATAAATGAGGATGAACTTTGTCGCAAAATATATTCCACCACAATTGCAACAGTGGTTGCAAATGCGTGGCCTCCATTGGTGGTTGAACAATACCAGTTAAAGTATCAAAATACTGTAACCAAGGTTTAGTGATACCAATGAAGTGAATTATTCTGACATCATCTCCAAACCTGATAAATAAAAGTGATGATTATCTCTTTTTCGATTGTACATCGTTGAGATTATATCTATGTAAAAGAAGTCTCAGCAGTATCTCTTACTGTTTGAACGCAGGAAGATAGGAATATGCAGCAGTGGAACACATATTGTAGATGAATGGTAAATGTTTAGAAATATCTTTGTGAGCCCAGTCACTGAAGTACATATTCAGTAAGCCCTGATCACCGCCATCGAACGAACCTTTAGCAGCGGCGAATGCGGTGATGGATGCAAAAGTTTGCTGAGATGGTTTGTACACGAAAACACCAGAGTTGAAGCAGTCCGGCCAGCCCACATCAGGGGCGGCTGACAGCTCTTCTCTTTCGAATAACTCATCACAGTTTCTGACCACCTAACATATGCCATATATCAATGATTACAATCATGAATAGTGGTTCAACTGGTAATATGAAATCTCTAACAGAATATTTCCGTTGATTGTTCTAAACACTTACAAGTGTGTCTGCGTCAAGAAAGACGCATTTATCGTACTGCGTTAATCTCCAGCAATGAAGTTTGGTGAATGTAATACCCAATTCTGGTCTAGCTAACAGTGCCAAATTAGCTTCATCTTTGGAATCAAGTACATTCACTTCCACTACTATAGAAAAGACTGCTGATAATTTTTCCCTGTGTCAATGAGTATAAAGTTTCAATTATTTATATATACGTTTTTTATTAGTTTAGAAGAAATTGTAAATCAGACGTGCCTACCTCATTACGTCTGTCACTCCAGGAGTGATCAAGACCGCCAGTTCATATTTCGTACCAACTCGACGCAAAGAGTGTGCCAAAACTAATGCTCCCAAAGAATAGGCATCGTTGGTAGCCAATGTAACCCATGCATATCCTGAAATTAATACAATTTATTAATTCAATCAGCTTGTTACCTACTACTATATCATCTGGGGTACACTAAATGGAACAGTACTAAATATTGCTAGTAGAAATAATTGAAAAGATTAGCTAAACTTTTCGAATTATATAAAAATTTCGTCTTATCAAAGTTTCGAAGTACTAAATGTTTTAACGGAGGAAGGGTACTTTAACAAACGGTTTAACAAACGAAGATACTAAACGAAGATACTACTACAAGGGTTAATATTTATTAATAAATAAAATTAATTATTTTATTATTGTTACTAGATATATTTGTAACATTATAAGTAGAGCGAAAGAGAATGAACAGAATTGTAATTCTACAGATACCGGTTGTGTAATTGACCATTGCAAGTGTGAGAAGTAAACAGAGAATGGTCTAATTGATCGGTACTCATAAGATCATTCTATGCATATTAATTTCTCATTACTCGATATCACTGGCATTCAACGTATCATTATGCATGTACATATATACTGATAAGGCGTCTCTCTCGAATCAGGTTCATGTCGCAGACATTCAAACTTTAAATTGATTTTTATATTGTATTGTCTTCGACATTACGTAACCGACATGAGACACGCTAGGAATGCATTTTTTTCTGCCGGTGCCATTGACTATGCTTTGTAAATTAACATTCTTACCATTGACACTGAACAATTGTATTCCATAGGTCTAACAGAGTTTCTAAAATCTCAAGAATCCGTTATCTAAATAAATTTGATTAACTCACTGGAGTATCGAAGACTAGAAAACGTAGGTCACTCCAAGGTTATAAAATCCGTGTATACAAGAACGGACAACATTTTTTATAGAACTAGAGGTTTAAAGCGGTATTTGAAAACGAAGATGATATCTTTATCTGTTTCATTCGTTTCGGATAGGGAAACTGATAAAAATAGCAAGCGAATTTACAGATCGAAAATGTGTAGGAGTCTAGGTGCGCCGTTCATCGAGGACAAAGAAATTCATCAGATTTTATTTATAAAGCGCATCCTATTTCTAATTCGCGCACGCCGTCAAGAATTCGACTCGCCATCCGCAGCCAGAATCGCGACAACTGGCTCTAGTTCTCCTGGATAAAATTTTATATTTAGACGTTTTATCTGTATTCACAGTTGCTTCTATCCACCAGATATGATATAATCGTACATAAAAAAAACAAGAAAAAACAAGAAAAAACAAAACTAAAAATCATTATCAGTGTCGTCGAGTAGCTGGTTTTAACACATTGCGGACCAGTAGTTTTATTGCTAGCCTTACCCAGTGGCCAGCTATGCTGCCCATAAGCAACGTGTTAAAGAGTCTACATAAGAATCGAAAGTATTCGTCAAATTATATTGTGTTTGGATAATCGGTAGACGAGTCTTGTAAATTTTGATGTACCGAATACGTATCTGAGAGTAGTTTCTCTCCGTTATCCTCAGTTTTTGAGAAATTTAATTTTGAAAAATATCAAATTTCAAACTTTCGCAATTTGTTCTACTTTATCGCTTACCGGTTATCGAAACGCAGCAAAAAAAAGTCAAATTTGTTGGATACTGTTATTGAAGCGCTCGTGACCCCGTTTTGTCTTCTCATTACATTTCTTCGAAGAACTATTATACCAATAACACAGATAACCGTGGCATCGACAGATAACATTAAAGCTAAGATAGGGACCAGCAATCCTTTGAACGATCCTTCTGGGCCAAAACTGGACCAGAGGTGAGCAAAATTTGATTGTAACAGTCTGGTGGGACCAGCATACAGAGATCTGCTTCTCACGCTTTCAGCATTTGGAGATTTAATGTATTCCAATGTATGACGTCTGTTGTATACCGAGTGATCAAAAATCAGACAAGAAAATAGACACCGGTATTCTCTCGGTTCCATGGATTCTCGTTCCGAATCGTCGTAAAACTTTCAGTTTGAAAACCCTCACGGATCACACGGCATAGAACCGGCATCACAGATTTTATCAATTTTTCTTTGGGGTTTCTACTGCGCAATATTCTGGTTTTACGAAATGCCGTGTAATCGGGTCACATATGTGACAATTCTCGAGTTATCCCATGTAGTCTCGAGCCTTGAACATGTACCGTTCATGTTTCTGGAATGGTCGCGTTCTACGTATCGACATTGAATGAGGTATTAGGTTTCGCTGCGTTAGGTGCACGGCGCGATGCGCGCGCGAGTGATTCTTGCCGCGTGCAGCTGGCTACGGGGATGAGACGACCGGCGAGATTCATTCGAGCACCGTGTACAGCGTATGACATGGAATCGAGTCCGACGAGGGGAGGCTGGCTTTTTTTCACGCTTCTCCTTCCTCCTTTTGCAGCGTTCTAATTGTTACAGAACGAATACATTCTGCACTTCCATATCTTATTCGAATTTTAACCCCGTTTAAAATCGTTCATAAACAGCATCAGATTTATTAAATAATTACACATTGTCATCTTGTTTGAGGACGTGATTTATTACTACATAACCTATATTATAATTAAATTTATTGGTATCTATTGCACCTATTGTGAAATTGATCTGTACCGGATGCAAAATAAAATATCATTTTATACAAGTTTCATCAAAAGACATTACTTGTGGGTACCACTAATATGTTACATGGGGTTATCACATTTATTACAATTTTCACTGTTCGTAAAAATGTGTGTGTAGTTTAACTATAATTTTCTTTCTCTGTTTCTAGACAAATGATTACGTTCAGCACAAGTCTGTGCATACGTATATCGAAACGGAGTAATTTATCTGTTAACCTGATTTAGATCCGTCCACAATTCTTTGCGGTTTAATTTCAGAATCGCAAGCACGTAAATCGTCGCGACAGTATCAGCAGACGAGCTTATCAATATGTTCGATGCCTGACGAAATTGTAGATTTCCGGTAGCGTATTCAAAGACCGATCCGGACACTAGTGTTACAACATGTGATGCTCTCCGGTTAACCAATATGGTAAATTCAATTTAATTGAACGAAAAATATGCAAACAAACCTAAATAACGAATAGCATGAATCGGTAATTCAAGGACCGAATTAAGATATTTCCATCGGTTTTGTATCTAGCACACAAGGCAAAAGCTTCCTATCACCGTAGAGAAACATTAGCTACAGTTACGTTACGTCGTGTCTATGCGATGATTACAAGCTAGCATTGCGATGTCGGTAAAAATAATCTGACAGGGAAAGCTCGTTGCTTATGTTGACTGCTTAACAAGTCTTTGACCGATTACACTCAAGCTGAATAGTCTCGTGAAGTGATCTGCCCTTTATGGGACCAACAACTAACAACATGAGCGATATAAAAAATAAAACAATACCGAGTAGAAGATTTGTGAACCACTGGTCATTGCCAGCTTCACAGGCGCAGAGTTCTCTCCGGAAGCAATTAGTACCTACGACTGCGAAATCTGACCGTCTAATTTGTACGTAGATAGTTATCGGTTCAAATTGGTAGTAAAGACGACATCGGACCGACGAGGACGTGACACGTTATCAAATTGTTGCGAGGAACATGCGCCCCTGTAAAATTACGCTAATAATCCTAGTACAATTTCGTTCCTTAATCTCTCGAGTGCCCGATGAAGTGGACAACGCGTGTACGACATTATTATTAGGATTGTTTGTCTAGTAGACACGCAGTAGATAAGAATGTTTTATGGAACATGCCACGGCGGATGCATCGAAGACGCTGGTAAAATTAAATGCAATGAATCCAAAGGAACGGTCGTGAGTCACGGCTATAGAAAGAAGGGAGGGACGAGCCTAGGAAGAGAATAGATGCTAGGGGGAAAGCTCGGATTTCTGCTACCGGTCTTCACCGGAACACAACCCGTTCAGTCATGTCGATCCTAGACGAATTAACTTCTATTGGAAACCTAATCTGTCCGTGTGAATTTCAACTTCCTTTCACCTCGTATTTTCTCCGGCCGCTAAAAATAGACGGGGAATCCGCATGGGTCAACCCTAGACGGATTAGCCCTCCTCTGAGCAACCGAAATGTATAAATAAGTTTCATTTCGAGCTTCCATATTTAGAATTTTCAAAAACGTACGTTTGTGTACCTATGGTTCCTCTCTATGTTCACAAGAAAATGTTTCCTGCGATTTATTCTTACTCCTGTTTTCAAGATTTGCATTTAATAGATAATGGTTAGTTTGTCAAACATTTGGCTAGAACGTGGAAATAAATGATTCTGTACACAGATAATAAGCTTAGTAGAGTTAATATTGTAGGATTACAGAAACACTCGAGATCGTTTTGTTATGTTTACAAGTATCGAGTTACAAATATGAACTGATCGTTGATGTTTCCCGTATCGTTACCTAAACTGTAAGATATAACAAGAAGATTACTTCAATGAATGATTTAAACTTGCAGAATTTGCAGATTGCAGAACTACAGACGATAGAACTGAATCTGTTCGGTTTACAAAAGATTTATTTTCCAACGGAATAGATAAAATCACAAATTTCACATTCCAGTCGGTGGTCAAATATATCCCAGAGGCACGATGTGCCAATGAGAAATTCACGTGTAAGTTGAATGTCTATTTCTACGATAACTCGGCAAAGATAAGACGAGACGAAGCCCAAGGATCTATGTGCTCCGGCCAGAAAATAATGTCGGAATTTCATTTGTTTAGTTCCAAAATTGTATCGTGGCTTGATCCAACATCGTGGACGGATCTGCTCGAGATTCGCTCAAAAGTAAATGTCTAGGACAACGAAAGACTGTATAGTATCTAGTATCGCGAAATTTTTGGCGGCGGAAAAGCGTTCTGGCGCTTTTAATATTTTCGCGTCGGGGCGACGACAGAGCACACAGGGAGAGATATAGATAGACAGAGGGAGAGAAAGAGAGGGGCGAGGAAAGAAGAAAAAACAACAAAACATTTATCTTGACTATGAGAAACGCGGCGCTCGGCTTCACTCGTATATTGTAACACGCAGACGAAACCCGAGAGGCAGAGTGCCGTTGTGCCACACAGGTTTATATTTATACAAGCCGTCCAGCTTATAATAGCAACCGGGCCTAGCGTTTGTACAAAATGCATTCATACACTCTTGCCTTAGGTCAAGCACTTGTCGGCCAAGCTTGGCGAGGTTTCCTTATGCGACCGTGCCTGCACACGTATATCGTCTGCGAATCGACACTTTCTCCGCATACTAGAGACGTGAATAACCATCGTCACCCTTGCCCACGGCGGGATGAAGACAATAGTTGACAATTCGGACACGCAACTCGACGGATTTTTCAGATCTATCCGAATATACAATAGAACACAATTTTCGCACTCTATTACTCTGTCGACTGATTGACTCCGACTCCTTATTTATGAAGAATTTATAATAGGAGACAACATTCTGTTCAAAGCGTAACTTTTCTATTCTTATATTGTCATAACCAGTGGACTATAATTTTTATTTTTCTAAATAATGTAAAGAATGTCGAATTTGAATTTTCATTGGCTAACAAAGATCAAGAAACAAAGAATATAATATGTTTATACTAGGACTGTTAGACGTTGAAGATGTTCTGCTGCGGAATCTGATTGAAATGTGAAGATGGAACGGAAGAGATATCAGGTCTCTGTTCAAGATTTCGAATGCAATTTATGTTAAGAGTTAAATTTATCACTTCGTGGATTTTATTGGACGTGTTAATGTAAACAGACGGAGGCTGTTCCAATGTTTACACTTCCTCTAGCAAGGTTGGAATCTATTTTCGAAGCGGAAGCTGTGGGATTCAAAATTTGTCGCAATACTTATATTCTTTCGTTGCGTCCGGTCTTATGAATTTTTGCCAAATTCATTTTATTCGAGGTCTCATCCTAGAGCTTTATTTCTCAGCTGCGCAAAACTGGCAAATATTCATTTAAAATCAAATGCGACTTCACCTTAATCATTTACTGGTATGAGACACTCGCTGAGAACTGACTCGCTCGTTCCCTTAGCAAATGAAGACCGATTCACACGAACGTGATTCGCAATTAGTCTTTCCACACCTATTCTGAGACGATCATGGCACGAAGGCAGACAACAGGCCAATAAAAAGAACAGCTGCGTTCTCGCGTTTAATTAGAAATCTAAGTTCTATAAGAAGCACCGATGCGGTTGTGTTTGTCGTTCGACTAGGCGACATCGCAAACTAGAATTCTCGAGTTCCATCTGAGGACGAAGGTCAAGACTGAACATGCATAAAAATAGTACCTCCAGCTATAATGGCGTCAATCGAGGTACAATGAACTTAACAAAGCGAGCTTCCGTTTAACGTAACATTAACTCGGCTGCTCCCAAACACTTTTTATTCGGGGAACTCAACTGTATTCAATACGTGAATCATACGGTTAGGCTTGGCTTCCATAGGCTATCGCTAATTCTTTAAACTTATTATATATAGCTGTCTCTCTTTCCCCCTTATTGTAAATAATTTACTTCTACTAAATGAGCATGCAGTAAAGACGAATCATTACTGTATTTATGGCTTGTTTTTCGAAATTCTGTGGTTACACAAATAAGAATGTCGCATGTTTCATATTCTCACTTCCGTGATATTGTTGCTTAAAGTTCAGATCATCAACTCTTCGTATTAATAGTGTTTTCATGTTTTTTTCTTGTTCTCATATTTTTGAGCCCATTGATTTTGTTTTCGTGATTTTTTTCCTGATAAATACGAAAATCCTGTATTCTACAATTAAATTAATACGAAAACTTAATTATTTTTAAATTGTGACATTCGACGTTTTTCCTTATAGCCATGAAATTGGCCATGGATATTTTAAAGAACTACAAAGACGAGTATAGTGGGAAGGGACGAAGAGAAGAAACAATATTACATCGTACATTATTCTGTTACTACAATTAGTGATGTATTAAAATACGACGTATGAACAAAATTAAAAAATCCATTGATATTTTCTCCATTGAGAAACTTACATTTCGTATCTGCAAAAGAAGCAACCCGAAATTTCCGAGTGTCAGTGTACGACCTTCCCTCGGAACTTTGTACATATAATTATCTAACGAATGACGATTAAGCTGTAAGAAAAAAAAGAAGCGGAATGAATTATTACACGAACGTTGAATTTTTATTTTTCCTTTTCGAAAAACAGATTCCTCGTGGCGTACCATGCTGCTATTACATCATCACCACGGATCGATCAATACATTGTAAATTAATATAATTGCAATTACGTTAATCTCTGATTGAAGAAATCTATAATTAAGTAACATCAGTCACGAGTAATTAATTAAAAATGTTGATAAGCGAACTGCGGATCTTTATGCAAATTAAAATTTCTGTATAGTGATTGAAACGTATAAATTTTTAGATGTAAATAAATATCTTATTTCATTAAAATCTTATTTATGCATTTTAAATTATTTCAAGTGTAATTTTATTAATCGTACATCCATGCATCTTAATAAATATTCCAGTAATACGTATTTTATGTTTAAAAAGACTATAGTTAAATAAATTGATGTTATTTTTAAAAAATTTCTATTTTGTTATGTTTAGAATTTATATATGTATTATAAATACGCAAACATTCACGGTCGAATGATATAATTTATCGTCTATCTCTATTTTATATTATATTAATCTTGTGAAAAAAAGATGGCGAACGAGTGCGAGAAAATTTTGACGAAGAAGCAATTTTCCCGCACGTGCGAAATAAATATAGAGAAGTGGTCGGGGTTTGGCAGAGAGCCGCAATTTCTCCCCCAGACGGCTAAGAATAAACTGTTGGAATACCGGCGACAGTTATCTTATTTTATGCAGAAGGAATCTCGTGTCTTAATAAGAAAAAAACGAAGAGACATAAAATGCCTACCTACGCTCGAGTCAACGTTCCTAGTGTTTAATTACTTACATCTTTAGCGTGCAGGCCAATGTATACGCAAATGTAATATACATAATTTTCTACTAATTTAAAATCTATAAAACGTGAAAGAAAGTATTTGTTAACGTATATTTACTACTTTAATTCGAGTGATATATCAAGATATGCTACAAATGGCCGCCCAGTTGCGTTCATGCAAATAAAATTCCTGTTTTTATAAGTAACTTCGCCAAAAAATGTCAAAGCAAGGGAAAATTTTACACAAATTTGAATTCTATGTAATTGTGTAACAGACCGAAGGGAAATATATTTAATGCCATCATGTTGGACAAATGTAAAGTGTACGATATTAAATTGGCGCCAAATCGCTTCGAAAAAAAAATAAAAATGAGCTCGCGCATGTGCTCTCGTGAGGAAACACGAAAGCGAGCGCGAATTCGGCCCATCCCGGCGAAATAAACCAAAACGAGGCACGTGCGTGGTCGGTAATCGATTGAAAAATAAACTGTTAAGTTACGAAGGAGTAGCTGTTCTGCGTGGAGAGCAGAAAAATCGACTAAAAATCTACGAGCGGATAGGTTATTGCTCGTTGTCTGTGAGAGATGTGAATCGTATGAAGGTCATTGGGTCAAGACCGGTTACCGGCGACGTTATCATACACCCTAAATGAACTTTCAATGAGCACAACCTTCCGGTCAGAATCAACTGGGCGGTGAGAAACATTTTAACAAAATATGCTTAATAGAAGAGTCCGTGTACTTACCACCCATGGTTGGGAAGAAACTCTGTGTTTCTTTTTCGAACGGACAGTCTCTACGACACACTCAACACTCGCCGATGCCCGCACAACTGACAAAAAGTGGTACGCACTTCATCAGCGCTACAACACGAGTGACGACTCGAGGCTCTCCTTCCATTGTCGCAATACTATCCCTACCTTCCATCCTATGCGAACGAAATCTGAGTTATCGACTGAAGATCCTGCAGCACTACCACAAACAAAATATGTCATAGACTAAATTAACAAAACAATTTCAATCTGTCAGCACAATTTACATACGAGTTCATATTAGATTAAATTAAAAATTTACTATAATCATTATTACATCATTATTTACAATAATCATTACTAAATAGAAAAATTTAACAGCATCGGAAGATCATTTTAATTCAAATGGTTAGATATTAAATATGCAATATTAGTAATTATAGTAAATTTCCCTTACTGTTCACTTGTATAAAATATATATACAATTAAATTGAAGTGAAGTAGAAAGATGCAATTAATTATAATAGCTTTATTTTAAAAAATAGAAATTTTTTATTCGCTTATACAAATTTCCAAAATATTGGGATAAGTTAAAAAATAAATAAAAGTTATAGAACATGCGATTAATGTACAATAATGTCAAGTATTTGCATTCAGTTTTTACAAGAAAAAACATTTCTACCGATAAATAATTTCTCATGGCATAAACAATTTGTATACATATACAGGAAGCACAAATTATTTTTCATAACATGAATTGGTATGGTCTTATTGTAATATCTTATAATATAGTATTATCGTGGAGTGTATCTCATTACAAGACTGAACTTACAAAACCGGTGCTTTAGCAGACAATCAAAACTACCTCTGATTGTTGGTCCATTCCGTGTGCCATTAGTATCATACAGCATGTCATATAAAAACGTATTCAGTCGATTTCTCATCTTACCGCATCGCTTGAACCGAATGCGATGAAGTATGTATCGTACAGGCGCAGTGGAACGCTGACCGAATAATCCATGCGCGCGAATTTTACAGCCGTTCGCGACACCTGCTGCGAAAACGTTGCGGCAAACGATGCGTCGTTTCAGTTCCGGGCGTTCCTCGACGGACAAACAAAACATGCATCGTGTAGCTGGAGGAGATACGGTAGCGGTCAAAATTAGGCGACACGTTCGCTTGCGTGCTATCGTACGTTCGATTCTGAGCTAAACCGTTCGATCCCGTAAAATGTAGCCAGCCGTTTAGCCGAAGTCAGTGCACCAGCGCTCGTAAAAACTTCTAACTTATGAGATCAACTCTGTCGTGTCCGTCTCCAGCACGTTGACATACACCGAGGAGTGGCGCGCGGAAAAATGGCCAGCTCACCGACCAGCATCGAGAATCAAATAGACAGTTTTCTCGAACAGTTTAAACGCAGTGCCTCCCGTGCTATGGAGGAGTCCCACAGGTCCAGCTACCATGCTTGCAGTAGTAGTATCAGTCATAGTCGAAGTGGTAACCTGGATCTTGAGATCTTGGATGCTGGTAAGTTTCCGCTAGAACTTTCTTACAGTGTAGCCTCTCATTACATTTGAAATTTAATCGTCTTGCTCTATGATTACTGTCAATTTGCTTGATGTGCGGATATGCTACCGTTTTTCTGTCGTTGTCCATTGATTTTTCGGGCGTTTCTTGCACATTTAGATGCACCCGTTCTCGCATAATATAAACCAATCCAATATGCACGTATCTAGCGTATACATTTGCATAACATCTTAACTTATAAATTCAATTTGAACATTATAAGTATTACATGTTTCTCCTACTTAAGATCATGGTACATTCAGAATTTTCAATACACGTGTATTCGTTGTCGTACTTATACACAATATATTGACATTGGTTTTCGATTAGTATTTATTACGATATAAAAGTTATGTACGTATTTTGTACTTCTCCGCACATTGCAATGTCTCCTTGAGTACCGATTACGTTGCATCATCATTTTTTTTTAAATTACATCTTGCTAATTTCTATCGTTAAAAAATGAACGAAACATTTATACCATTGACTTGGAACATCGACACGACGAAATAAAGTACAAGGGAAGGTATGTTCCCTCTTCCTGGACGGAAGATTATGCAAATGACAAAATCATTATCGAGTAAAATTAAATTCGCTTCGATTTAATCGTACAGCTTGACAGTGACACGCTGCGAGTCACGTGCAGTTACCCCTCTTTGGGAATCGGGTCTTTCGTGATTGGTTGTTCCATCTTGTCTTTACCTCCACCGTGGGAGCGGCCAGGAGCGGCATTATTATGGCGACGTAGCTCGGATGTGCTACGATAGAGGTCGTCGCCCGTTGCCGTAGTCCCTCATGCCGTCGAGTTGTAAAACTGCAGGGTTGCAAGATGCATTTAGTAGTCTCGCGAAAGAAATACCGACCGTATCGCTGTTATTGACGCTTGCACGAATTGCATGATCGATGATAACGTCGCAGTTTGATTTTTAATTCACGGTTTTTGAACATTGCGCGGAGTGTTAGGCGATTCAAGAATTTACGAATTATTGGGGTGTATAGGGTTTATTCCGGGAATACTCAACCACAATGACCGAACGTGAAATAGGCGCCGCCGGCATCACCATGAGTTTCTATTGAATTGACGTACGCGATAAATTGACTCGTTCATTACATTAATATGGAATGACTTTTCATTTAACGATAGAGCAAATTTCTGCCCGACAACCTTACTGATAATACCGCGTAAGATTTTCTATTGTATTAACAATTGACTGTGTGGTAACAACCAAAAACGATATGATTCTTCGACGAAAGTCCACACACGGCTGCAATTGCCCTTGCCATCAACACTGTTCCACCAGATGTGCAGGTTTGAATTACATGCGTATAATATCTTTCCTTACTGTGTATATATTGTATATATATATATGTATCACGTAATAAATTAATGCGACATAGACGAGCGTTGACCAACGCTGAAATTAGAAACGCGTACGACGAAAACAGTTTTTACTGTTCCGTTTTCGTGAGTTCGTTACAACTATAAAGAGATTATCGATTTATAGATACGCCTCGTTTGTTTACATACTCATTGCTGGACCCAGGTATACATCCGTAACATGTATATGTTACGGATAATCGATACCTTGATTAATTTTAAACTTTTTATATAAACTGTCATTCTATAAAAAAACAGAACTATTTTTATCATTTATTTTATAATAAGTTTCATATGCATTTTTATATTGATTACATTGATCGTTTTTTCAATTCTACATTCAGTCAATAATTTAACTTGCACGAATATTATGTATTGACAATAAAGTATTACGTTTTAAATATTTAACGTAGTTGTCGTAACATGCTACTCGCATATCTGTCCACTTATAACGAAAATTTACGCAATCCATTCAGAAGCATCAATTATGATTTATTATGACCAGCAACATTATACAACGAGGCATGGTTTTCCGACATACAGGGTGTTCCTAAAGTAACTAAACTTTACTAGCGCATTCTATTAACCGTATTGATGAAAAGCTACATTAGGGAGAACCGTTGTCTGCAATGTCTGCTGGTCTGCATCTCTAAATTAAGGGGGTTGTCCTTATCTCACTAGTGTACACAGTGGTGCTCAGTATAACTAACCCACCTTTAGACGAAATTGCTATACAGCTGCAATTAATTACAAATTGGCAGAGATGCAGACCTAAAATAATAGTGACGGAATAAAGGAAAATGTGATCAAAAAGTGGTTATAATGTTACTTTATACTATATTAATGATATTAACGGGTGGAGTCTCCTTTGTTCTCTTTGAACTGCATCTACATATACATAATAAGAGCAACAGTACAATTCAAGTATGAATATTAGTTATACTATAATTATTATCGTTTCTTAGTATTCAAGTAAGACAGTATAAGTTCATATACTTAGGCGATACCTATACAGGTATCGCCGAATATTTAATAATCAGCTAAAAATCGGAGATATTCAATGTTTTAATAACTTTTACAAATGATTAATTAATTATTACTTGTATTAATTAATTGATAAACCAGTTTCATTGTCGAATGGTTAATAGAACGGACAAAGTAAAGTGTAGGCACACATTTTAGAAATATTCCGTATTGAGGCGAGTACATCGTGAAGACCGTGCTATATGTACGAGACTGGAGCTGTTATCCCCTCCACGCGGTATTAAGAAATACGTTCGCCATATCATTGAGCGTGGTGCTTCATAATATTTAACCGGTGTACTGAGAATCACGAACAATCTGTATGGCGAAAACCCAAAATCGCAAATGCAGTGTCTTTTGAAACGTATTTTGTAATTGAATATACGAAAATAAAGAAAAGGTTAAGTCGTAAGAAGGTAAGTAAACTTTGTCTTGCCACGTACCATAAAGATCAAACTTGTAAAGCACTTTGTGTGAAAAAGTGATTCTCAACTTTGTTGATATCAACAGACTTTTTTCTTTTCTCATTCTGTTGGGTCAAATCTAGAAACAAATATATTGAATCATGCGGACGATGAAATTTATTTTTAACCATGTTCTATAATGCTTATAATAGATTCTATTCAAATAAAATTTCACACTTAGGGCAGATATATGTTTTTAAGTGACATTGTAATCAGCTGATCGTTTGTTTATAATGCCTTAAATCGAAATACGAGACATTGTTTATTTTATTTCAGTTGCACTTAAATGTTTTTGTTAACATGCTCTACCATTATTGATGTATTAATGTTTAAAAGAATATAAAGAGTGTGAAAAAGCACATTGTTGAATAATAATTAGTGGAACATGGATATTAACTTGTGTGAAAAAAATGAGATAGCGGTGCAAGCAGGTGTTGCATCACAAGAAACTTCATGTGATAAAAATGATAAAACGCAGGTATCTCATTGTCAATACATAGTCAATGATCAGTTAATATATACACAAACAAAGCAAGAGGTAAGTAATAACTTTGAATTTTATAAAAGATGATACATTGCATTAAAATTTGAGTTATATAACAAATGTTAATAATTATAGATTACAGATGTGGATACCACAAGTACTTCTACAAAACCAAAGAAGACGGTGACCAAAATTAAAGCGAAGAAATCTAAGCTGGAAGGAGAGCCAGGCTATGATTCTACGAGGTTAGAAGACAGTCCTATACAGGTGTTGGAAAGATTTAAAAGGGGATGTGAATGTCAAGATGACCAGTGCTTCACAGGATTAAATCCCGAAACAGTGTATAAACATAGACTAAATATTGCAGAGTTAACTAAGGCCGAACATGATATGTATTTAATGGGTGTCACCATGGCATGTTTAACAAATCCATACGAAACAGCAAGACACACTGAACGACGCAGATTACGTGCACAATATGTATATCAAGGTCGTAGAGTTTGTCTAGATGCTTTTTTGTATTTGGAAAACTGTACACATTATCAAATAAAAAGAATCAGGAAACATTTGATGACTCATGGTGTCACACCACGAGTTCATGGTAATCATGGAAAGATTCCACATAATACATTTTCCTTAGACATCTATAAAATAGCTACAGAGTTTTTAAAAAATTTTATTGACTTACAAGAAGCAAAACAAAAAACTAAAGTTGCAAAAAATGCGCCATTACATTTACCATCTGATATTACGCGTAAAGTAGTATATGATATGTATATTCAGCATTGTAGGAAAGTATCACCTAATATAAAAATAATGGGATATTCTACCTTTAGTAGATTTATGAAAGTTCAATTTCCACAAGTAAAATTTGCTAAGTTAGAATTTGTAGTTAGAAATCAAAGTATTCAAAGCCAAGGATGTAATAAAATAGATTTGGAAACAGAACTAATTAATGAGATACCATCTAGATCAACAGACTTAATAACAGATGATGGTGCCTTATTACCCTTATTAATTGCCAGTGAAGCAGGACAAAGCAATACTTATTTTTTGACACCTGTCAGCAAATTACAGGATGGCATGAGTTATCAGATAACTACAAGTGGGCTTCTAGCCAATAAACCAGGATTGCCTATCACTTTAACTAAAGTGAATGCTATTTAAGGAAAA